TTTGGACAGAGAAAATCAAATCAATAATAAGCTTTCGAATATAGAATCTGAATTAATGAAAAGATCCAACATAACTACAATTAACTCATCTATAATGCATAAAATTCAAAGACAACGTAAAATTGCAGAAAAAATACTTGCAGGTTATTTAATGCTAACAATTACATTATATCATTCAAGATCTGAGGATATTAAAAATACAATAACTGCTTTAAATCATTCTATTTCTAATTTTGATTATCAAATCTCAGTATTTCAAAAACAAAATAAACTTGGTGGTAAAATTGGATTTAAAAGTGTAATTAAGAATATCTTCAGATCAAGAAAATACTTAAAACTTCGCAAGTATTATAAAAGGATGAAAAAGTTTCAGAGTTATTTGTATCATAAAAGGCAACAAATTTCCGAATTTCTAAAATTCTCAGAAAATACATTGAATAGTTTAAATCAAGAGCTAATCAAAATTATTGATCAGTATTTATGCAGAAAAAAAGGCGTTGAAAATGATTTAGAGTATTTATATAATGAAAGAAGTGATAATAATGAAAACATTGAGCCAATACAAATTATTATGGGGGATTTGTACAATATTTTCTCCAGAATAGGAAGGTTGGAGTATTATCATTCTCCAAAATATTTGATGTCAAATTCTAAGCTCCTTGGTGAGGTATTGAAACAATATCGACGAATTAGTCATGAAATTAATCTATATCAAAAAAAATCCCAAAAGATATTTATCACTCAAGAAAAAACTTTAAATAGTGCCTATAAATTAATCAGAATTGCGATTCCTGCTTCATATATGATTAATAAATACAACAAATTTCCTAAAGAATATCAAAGATTTACATTTAAAACAAGGAAATTAGATATTATTGGAGATGAACCAAGGCATATTAATATAAGAGGATGGGATTTAAAAAAAGGGGAAAAAAATTTGGCTTTAGAAAATGAGTTAATAATTGAAAGAAAATACATCAAGAATGATCAAGAATTTTATGAAATAAAGGAACAAGTTGAAAAACAATTAAAAGAATACTCATTACTTCCTGATGAAAAGATCAAAGATAAAATTGATACAAAAACCTTAATTTTTTTCATTCCAGATGATTTGGTTGACCAAATGATATTTGAAATTGAAAGAAACCAAATAGCTTTAAGACAAGGTTATAATTCAAAACTTGATAAAACTTCAATACAAACCGTAATGATTAACTTTTTACATGAATTATTAAGGAGAAGAAAATCTCTATATAGTCGGCTTTCTTCAAAACCATTTATTACAAAGCAAGCACAATGTTCAAAAAAAGATGGAAATGATATGGAAGATATTGTTTCTTCCATTGAAGAAAAGAAAGAGAAAAGTCCGACTCAATTCTAAAGTTTAAAGGTCCAGCTTTTTTCTCAAATACAAATAATATATTTATATAAAGTCTTATGATAATTAACAGGCATTGATATACTACCTTAATGAATAGTGGATTTTGAACAAGTTGTGATCAAGACTAATTTGGATTTAATATTAAAATATAAGTCCAATTCAACAATGAAAATTCATCAAAAATGGCATTTGAGATCAATAAATTGCAAACACACACAGATACACGCAAAAAAAGTGGAATTTAAAGTAAGTTTTTGATGCAATAAGTCCAGTGTAATCTCTAAAATCAATAATATAAGTAATTTTTTTATATATTTTGCAATTACCGAGAAATGTAATAACGTATTAAAGGTCATTTATTCTATTACTTCAGCTAGGATAATAATCATAATAATAAAAGTAATACCAATACTTAATTAAGTCATCAAAAATGGGTTTCAATAAAATGAGGGGGGCAAAAATCAATATAATATCAGAAATGGCGCGCAAACTGTGATCTAATGGAAAGCAAATTCCCCTCTGAAATATTATTTATTTTATTATTGGGTAAAATAAGATTAATAATTATACAGGGCTTGGGAAAATAGCGAAGGAAAGAGTTGGATTTATTTTTCAAGAAAAAACAAAAGTAATTTCTTTGTATAGGTGATTATAGTGTAGTTAAAGACGATACTATAGAAATTAGTTACAAAAACAAAGTTTCCCTTAACCAATCAGACTGACTTTAAAAAGAAAATTGAATTAATTGCAAGCAAAATTTAGGAAATAATAAGTGGGGAAAGAAAAGAAAAAAACATGTTAAAGGTTTCTCAGTTAAGAAATAACAGAGGTGGAGTTATGAGTTTGGGAGAAGGGGGAGAAGAATACAAATTTGATTCAACAAATGTTATGGAAGAAAGTAAAAAGAATTCCTCTAGAGTCATCGTAAACTCTGGTTCAGCTGTAGGAATCAAGTATAAAGATGGTATTATGCTGATTTCAAGTCCTTTATTATGTTATGGATCAATGAAGATGAATTCTGATATTTCAAGGTTCCATGTAATCGGATCAGGGATGATTGATTTATACGATGAAAGACAAAAGCTTAAAAGCAAGGATGAGGATATGAGTTCAGTTAATGCTGATAAAAGACCATTGGTCAGAAAATTGACAGAAGTTGATGAAGATGCAAAAGTAAGATTTTATCAAGGAAAGCTTTCAATAATAGTATCAACAGGAGAATTTAGCGACTTTCAAAACATTATTGAGAGAGTTGAAGAAAAAGCAGCTGAGGACTTTTTTGAAGGAAATTTCAAATCTGCCAAGGAATATAGTGGATATATTTCAGCAGTTCATTATCAAAGAAGAAACAAGATGGATCCTTTATTGAATGATATAATAGTTGCAGGACTAAGAAAAGATGGAAGTAAAGAAATCTATTCAGTGGACCCATTAGGCACTAGATTTGATGAAGACTTTATTGCAAGTGGAATGGGAGAGTATCTTGCAATTACGTTACTTAGAGATAAATATAGGCCAGATATGAGCTTTGATGAAGCAAAATCGATCTTGGAAGATTGTATGAAAAACTCATTTTATATCGAATGTAAAGGAGCTAGAATGGTTCAGATTGCCACAATTAATCAAGATGGTACCAGAATTTATCCAAAGTATCCTCTTGACGTTACTTGGAGGCATGATCTTTTTGTCAAATCTAACTTGGATAGAAAAGACTATGTTGGATTTTAAGATGCAAGCCAAAGGTCAGATGAATACCTGAAGTTAATTTGGACGTCTTGTTTCTTCATTTTGTATAATATAAGTGCGTGTATAAATCTAACATATTCAGTCGTTATTTTACAGAAAAGAGATTATATCAAGTACTAGTAATTGGCAAATAGAGATTTTTTTAGCTGTCGCCAATTTTATTATCTTAAGTGTTGAAGATGAATGATTCACTATCCCATCCCAGTAAAGACGGACAACTATATATATATAGTGGTTGGAAACGGGAGAGCATGGATGGATTGGAGGAAAAAAAAGGTAGAATAGAGATTCCTTTGAAAATTTAGATTAAAAAGCATAGGATTAAGCCTTTACTCTACACCAGGAAGCATTCTTTTTCAAAATTGAAATGCTTGAAAGTTTGTAAATTTTCTTATTGTTTTTACTACATATGAAATCAACTTAAATTTGATTCGACAAAGTCCCAGTTGATAATACTGAAGAATTGATCGACATAAGAACCTCTATTGTTCCTATAATCTATGTAATAGGCATGTTCCCATACATCACAGGTCAGAACTGGCTTTCCAAGTCCAAGCTTTTCAGGATTATCACCATCGTGAGTTTGGACAATTTTAAGTTTTTGATTGTTTACTGGGTCAATAACTACCCAAATCCAGCCTGACCCAAAATGACCAGTTGCATTGGCGGCAAATGACTCTTTAAATGCCTCGAAACCTCCAAAAGACTCTTCAATAAGCTTTGCAACCTTTGAAGTTGGCTTATTAGTTTCTGATGGGGACCTTAAACAGCTCCAGTAGAATGTATGGTTCCAAATCTGGGATGCATTGTTGTATATTGGACCAGAACTCCTCATTATTACTTTCATTAAGTCTGTTTCATTTTCGAATTCTGTAGATTTTATTAATGAATTCAATTTTGTAACGTATCCTGCATGATGTTTGCCATAATGGTAGTCTAATGTTTCAGGTGAAATAACAGGCTCTAGAGCCTTCTTTTCGTATGGAAGAGGTGGTAATTCAAACGGCATTCCAGAGATCAGTCTAAAAAATTTGTTAACTAACTTTTTAGAGTTATTATTAAATATAAATCTGATTGACATCTACGCCATATGCGTTTGGAATCTGTTGGGGGGCACACATTCTCGAAACAGAGGGGGCAATGAATTGCCTCACCATTGAATTTTTTTTCCTTCAAATGTCTCCGAGAATTCCCGGCTAGTCTGATTCAATTGAGTTAAAATCAAATAAATTTGAGAATTTCAATTTCAATTACCACTGAATTTGAAGACTTTTTTCACCCTAATCAGTATACAGTTACCGATACCATTTATTACCGCTGTGACTGGTTTTCTCCAACTATTAAAAATATTAAAGTACAAATTGCATTTGAGATTTTTGACACAGAAAGTTCTACTTATTTATCTAAACCTTAATTTCCTAAGTGAAAAAGACTACAAACTTTACCGGGGAGAATATTATTATCCTAAATCTTCAAATTTTTGCTACTTTGTTATCTTTTTCAACCTCATTTTTCCTCTTTATTCCCTTATTCAAATAATTGTTTTTTTACTTCGCTAATTTCCAGAAAAACTCTGACAATTATACTATTCTTTTCTTTATTATTAACTCCTTCGCCTCAAATAGCAAGTTTAATCCACTTTTTGATTGAATATCCATCTCTAGAAATATCTCATATTCTCAATACAACTCTGATAACACTACTTTTTTTACTTCTTTTCTTTTCATTTTCTACCTCCTTCCCTCAGCAATATCATATTCTTTCTCTTAATTCAAACAAACTTATTTGTTTTTTGAACAAATGTTATTTTTCCACACTTGATCATTATTTTCTTTCTTATTTACTATTCACATGTATGGTGGTACTGTCGACAGCCCCCTTAGCTTAGTTGGTAGAGCATTCGCTTAGTAAGCGAAAGGTCCCGGGTTCGATTCCCGTAGGTGGCTTCATTTTTTACCTTGCGCAACTCTAATTTTTGTTCAATATTGTATTATTGAGTATAAAGTTAGAAATATAATTTATTTTGAATATGAATGTTATTATTCGCATGATAATTATGTTCGTTTTCATTATTAAAAGTATCTTCATCATCAATTTCCACGTGTTCAGTATTATTATCTACATCTATTTCTGCATCAGTTTCCATTTCTGCTCCTTCAGCTTGTTCATTAAATATTGGAGGGATTTTGTAGCATTCAGAATTGAAAATTTCCTGAGAATAAATATTGTTGTTCTTAATACTTTTTTCAATACGTTTCTTTTCTACTCTCAAAAGGTCTAAATTTAAATAATAGAATTGGTGTAATATTTCAATGCACCATGAAAATTTATTCCTTATATTATTAATCCCTGGTGTTGGATCAAAGAAGTTATTATTTGTGATAATTCCACGATTAATATGATTATTTTCTGAATCAAAATTATCGGTACTTGAATATGTTGTACTAGTACTAGTAGTTGTCATACCACTAGTTTTTATTTGTTGATTAAATGAATTATTCATGTCAAAACCATTAATTAGTCCAAAATCGATTCCTAAATCCATTCCAAAGATATTATCACTATTGTAATTATACGATTCTCCGGCATTATATGTTTTCATTGATTTTTCTTCTGCTTTACATAAATAATAACTATTAGGAATTTTGTTGATTGCCAAAAAAGTTTTATCTACATATTCATGAAGTATTTGTGGGGCTTTAAATAATGCATATTGACTCATTAATTCTTCTGGATCTTTAGATTTATCGCTTGAATCATTTAAGAAATTATAATTAATCCAAAAATTATCTTTAATATAGCTTTTAATTAGTTTTTCAAATTGTTCTTTATGTTTTCCTTTATAATTAATAGCAAGTATATGTATCATAAATCTACATTTTTTACTGTTGAGTATTATTTCTGGTAATAATGAAATTTCATTATCCGAATTATTATTGTTATCTCTGTATTTGAGTAGGAAAATATATTTAGGTTTAATAGGAGGTATCATCTTTTCACCTCCAGGATAGCTTAAGTAATATTTATACCATAACAACTTTGTAAAAAAAAAAGAGAATGTAATTTATATTAATTATATTCTTTAAAAAAAATATTAAAGAAATTAAAACTTACCTGTTCCTCATATGGCTGATAATTAATTTTCCAGGGTTTATCAGGGCCAGCAAAATGCACAATTTTGTGTCTCATAGTATCTTTCCAATCATCTCTTCCTGCCCAAAAATTATAATCCATTGGCAATTCATCATAAGTACCATTACAATAAATATTTAAGGCAATCTGATCATTAATTCCCCATTTCTGAACCAATGACAATGTATTATTTACAAAATTATTTTCTCTCAACTTTTTTAAACTCAATAATAGCACTCCAGCATTAAATGATCTACTTGCTTTGTATTGAAGATAATCTATTAACTCATCCTTTTTTAACCAGTCATTAATAATGTTTGAATTAGTTGAGGATCTTGCTACTATACCACATTCACTCTTTATTTCTGTTTTAAACAGTTGCCTAAAATATATATTAGTTAATTCAATTTCGTCAAAATAATATATATATTTTTTTAATTAATTCTCTTAAGTTATACATTTAAGCATTGAGAAAACCAGATTTTATTTTTATTAAAAACTTACCTTAATGAATGGTTTATTATTGCATCAGTATCCACATATAAAATCTTATCAATTCTTTTATCTATCATTTCTGGTAGTAAAAGCCTGCACATTGTTGCCTCAGAAACATGCTTCAAAGTCTGTTTGTACTTGATTTTATATGTAAAAGGATAAAATATTAAAGTTAACTTTTTAGAAAACCCAAGTTCATCATTCAACTTTGATAGCATGGAATAATCATTTGGCGTTACATCTGGCATTGCTATTATATGTACATTTGCATATTCTCCCAGACCTAAATTACTATAGATTGAATTGAGCAATGTTGGAAATAATGGAAAAACTTGCTTATCCGTAGAAAAAGTTATCTCATATTTTACTCTCAAGGAGTCATTCACTGACTTGAATATTGAACTATTTTTTCTGTGAAATATTTTAACACTTGAAATTCCCATTATAAAAGGTACTGTGACACATATTATTGCTGAAAATATCACTATCACCAGCGATATTTTCTGCTTCAATGTTGCCATTTTGTTTTATTTACTCTTCTTTTTCAATTTCTTCAGTAATAAAATCTTGTTGCTCTCTTACACTACTACTAATACTACTACTAACTCTAATATCACTACTAAAACTACTAATTTTTAATTATTAAATTATTTTTTCCACATTACTATTAATAATCAAATATTACTTGATAAATAAGCTTGATTTTTTAATTAAAAGTTGAAATTATTATCCTTCGAATTTTAGTATTTTTTTCTCCTTATATTTAAACTTCTTTTTTGTGAAAATATTTCAATTTAAATTTATTCACAGGTCTTGTGTGGATATTAAATAATTAAGTTTAATACTTTGATTGCTCAGTTGTTCAAATATTTCTTGATTATTTAATTTTAAAGGTCCTCACTATATTATTTTTAAAAATATTACTATTTTTAAAAATTCTTAATGATTTTTTTTTTTGCTGTCAAACAAAAACAGCTTTTGCATGCACCTGCCCTCATGCAAACATTTTTTTTAATTACACTTACGTGTCTTTTTTAATGGACACCGGTATTAAACATTGTGGCAGGAAAAAAAAATAAAAAATAAAAATTAATAATAAAACTAATATATGAATAATTTGTAAATATTTCTATTTTTATTTAAGAAAAAAAATATGACAAAGTTAGAAAAAGAAGAAGATTCTACCATTAAAGAAGTTCAAACTATTTTGAAGACAGCAGTGACACAAATAATGAATAATGTAAGTCTTAACACAATTAATAACAACAATTATAGTGTAATGGGCGAATATATACATTATAATATTGAATTGATTTAAAATAAAATCTTCTCAAAACTTTAATTAGTCATCTAATGTTAAATAATGCAATACATTGGTAAATATTCAATTATAAAGCATAAAAATAAAGAAAAAAAATCCTCTTGAATATTTTTTTTCTTAAGATATATCGCTCTCTTTTTCGAAACAGTGATCACACCTAAATCACGTTCATTCATGTATCAAATGATTAAAATTCCAAATATTTGAAATAAATGAACGTATTTTTATGAAACTAACCCAAAAATTTATCTGTTAGCAAGAAATATTGCATTGTTGTTATTTACCAATTTGTATTTACATCAAATTTTCACTTTTTATTTGAATTACTCTTAGGAAGTAAGAAAAGTTTGTTTTGAACAATGCTTTCAAAGCAAGAAATCGCACTCCCCTTTAAATAGATTTGACCATCAATGTCTTTCTAGATGTATGGATAAGATGTTTCATGCACATTCAATTGTTGAGCAAGCTACTATTGAAAAGGTTAAAGATTTAGGTAGCTCTGAAAATGTTCAGAATATCTGAAAAACTTTTAGATTTTGAAATTATGTTTATATTACCTTTCAAATTCTTTTTGTCGATGTAATACACTGAGATTTTCTTCGCTCAATCATTTAATCCCAAGATTTATTATTATTGGTAGTGGTAATGTAAAAATAGAGATTTTATGCTCTATTTTAAAAATCACTTCTTGATTTAATAAAACCAAATGGTATTCATTCCGGCTAACTGACTGGATTATAAAGATGAATACTAAAATTAAATATATTCATTTGAAGCTTTAAACTTATATCCCATCTCTAGGTAAGGCTCTCTTACACTCAACCCACTTCCCTTTAAGATAATGATTACTATAAAATTTGGTAACGTTATTTACTGCATCAACAGTTTCAAATGTTACAAATCCAAAACCCCTAGGACGCCCATTATTTTTATCAGTAATGAGTACTGCATCCTTAATGTTTCCAAATCTTTGGAAATATATTTTAAATTCTTCTAAAGTGAGATCAGGAAGCCCACCAACAAAAATTTTACTAACATTCTTAATTCCCTTTGTAACAGCATTGTTAGAATTTTCTGGTGTACTTTCATTTTCTGTTACGTCTTCAAAATATTCTTTGATCATCAAATTAGTATTTCTAGGTGAAGCTCTTTTGCAGTCCACAATTTTGCCCATTATAATATGTGGGGTAATATTCTGAACTATCTCGACAGTTTTTGGATCCCTAAAAGTTACAAATCCAAAACCTCTGCTTCTTCCACTTACATTGTCATACATTACTACAGCATCCAATATTACTCCAAATTGCAAAAAGTATTCCATCAAAATAGATGAAGTTACTTGCTGGGAAAGCCCACCGACAAATATTTTTCCTGACTCTAAATTCATTGTAATTTATTTATAGCTTTTCCAAAATTGAACTTATTCATGTATTTTGTATTTTATATGTTTAGAAGAAAAAAAAAGAATTCAAAAAGAATTTACACAAATTTATTGTAAATCTTGTATTTTTGTTCAATTTTTTTTTTGTGTACATAAATTTCAGCACTCGGAAGTAAATGCTATAATCTGCTGAATGATGTTTAGTTGTCAAAAGTTTGATCAAATCTCTATTACTAATTTCATTATAAATAAGAAATAATAGTGATTTCTCTTACTGAATTCTTATTCTTTCCTGATATTAATCTTTTAGATTATTTTACTATTATAAAGCTATACAGTCCATAAATTTATTTCTAATATTAATTATATATTCTTTTTTCTTGTCAATCTAGAAAGTTAAAAAAATAAAAGGTGTTTTAGAAAAATAAAAAAAAAAGCAAAATTACTTGTTTGCATGTTGCCGCCTATTCTCAATGGCCATATTGCATGCAATAAAATTATTTATAAATTTATAATTAATTTTTATTTTATCCTCGGAATTAAGTAGAAACATACATAAAACAAGAGTCAATTTAAAATTCTTTTTCCATACCTCTTATTTCCTTAAAAATTTTTTA